AAATAAATGTTTTCAGCCTTAAAAATGAGGACTTAGGGGAGCATTAGAAGAGAAAGGAGGCAGTATAGATAGAACAGTATGTGAGAGGATTGTTAGCTTGTTTGAGTCGACTAGTGAGATGGTGCACAGGCGTCATGGTAACAGTCGAATGCTGGGATTGTGGGGCAGTTCAACTGCAGATGTCATATTTAATCTGTGATATTGAATACAGAAAAAATGCATTTAAAATTTGCAATTCTCTTCTCCGCGGTTTATGTAGGACCAGTCATGATTGTATCACTCTAAAACCTCAACACATACAAATACAACTTTTAAACAAACTTTTGAACAAAAAAGAATAGTTATTTTTGTTTGCTTTCTTCCCCACATTCATACAAGAATATCAGTATTGAATGTCTCTTATCTCCAAATTATATTTAGAGTAGCTTTAGCTTAGCATAGCATAAAGACCAGAAGCAGGGGGAAATGGCTAATGTTGTCTGTCTGCCAAAATAGGCGAATTGTCTCCTGCCTGTAGCTGCATTTCTAGTGTAGGATATGAAAGTGCTATTTATCTCTCTGTCTGAATCTCTGCAAGAAAGCTGAAAATGTTTCCCAAAATGTCCACTTCATTTTGTTTCCTTTTCGGTAAACACACTATGCTTTGTACCATTTACTGTACACCGGATACTGTATATTATAAAATCGAGCAGGAAAATCAGCAGAAATTAACCATAATGAAAATTATGAATTATCATCTTTCCCTGCCATACTTCCAGGAAGTGTTATGTGTTATAATAGTAAAGGTTAAAATCTCTAACATAATTTCTAAGAATTGCCGCCTGACTGTAGTTATTAAAATGTGCAGAAGGTCAAGAGACTAATCCACAGTGCTATCACTATTAATTCAATTGTAGCTTTAAACATTGTAGCAATCCAGATAATTGGATTTATGTCCTAAATTGTATGGAATATGCATGTGTACTGTATATCTGCGAGCACACATTTTAATGCTGCTGTGGAGCGCATTCTGGCCAAACTAAAACTGGTTGTATTTGACTTGATAAAGTAAAGTAATGTAAGTACAGCAAATTATAACAGTAAAACTTCTAAGTGATTCTGCAAGTGTGACTTTGGTCAACATTGAAAAGTAAGGGTGAGAAGATTTTTATATTTCAGGCACTATTGGATGGTAATGATTACTTTTTCATTTAAAACTTTACCAGCCACCAAAATCTGCAGATTTAAAGTAGGTGGGAGCTCTTGATGGACAGCATCACCTTAAAAATGACAGAGCTGTTGGAGTTGTGAAAAGGACATAAAGTTATCTGCGCCGCTCTGATATCAAGATTCCCCTCCATCCCTCTGTCTCTCTGCTGCTCCTTCACATCTATTTTCAGCCCGACTGTCAATCCGACCGACTCCAAGACTCAAATCTGCTGTCTCTCTCGACACCGTCCCACAGTAATAGCCTGGGAGGTGTGCATGCAAGTGTGTCAGAGGAGTAGTCCTGTCTTTTTTCAAATAATGGACCTGGAAAGAAAATATTTGTGTTTACTGTATACATTTTGTAAGTTGGAATTTCTGTCTGTTTTCTAACATGTACATATATCTGATACTCTAAAATTCAATCCTTGTTCTTCCAAATATCAACAATCTTATGTAGCTCAAACTCACTGGATGTGAAAATGTATACATGTTGCATTTGCAGCACCCTGTTGGTGTGATATCTGGAGCACCCACAGCACTAACACCTGCGTTTCACCTTCCTGATGGTCGATTCAGTGATATATTTTCATCAGAGAAATAAATCAAACAATTCTTATAATTCTCAGATGCCACCTGGTTGAGCTATCAGACCAGTGGTTCCAAATTATGTTTTTTTGGTTTTCTTTTTTTTTTTACAGCCAATCACTGCAGGAGGTGATAGAGGTAATTAGCATGCATTCAAGTCAAATCAAGCCACATTAAATTGTTCAGACTGTAATCAAAATAATGGCCTCATGGGCGCTGAAGAGTAATGTTTAAAAATGTTAAAACAGGAAAGAAAACGTAAGAAAAAAACATTTTTTGAGATAAGATCTTATCCGTGACAGCAGCTTGGCTAAAGGCACCCTAATGGCTGTGTTTAACACTTTGATTCAGAATGAAACACCTCAACAACTATTGATGGACTGCACTGAGATTTGTACAGACATTCATGTCCCCTTTATGACAAAGTTGTTATGAGTTTAGATATCCTTTGTAGTTGTTTTCTGGAGCCACATGCAAGTAGAATGTCTAACCTCTAGTTTTCTGATCAAATACCTGCAAATGTATGACATGCCCATCAGCATCATGTTACCTTTGGGTTTCTTGCCTCTTGTGGCTTGATTCGTACTGTCACTTTGTTTGTCAATGTCAGAAAACACAACACACAGAGTGCAATGTTATCCTAACTGATGGTACTGACTCATGGTCAATGCTTATGCAGCTGTAGAAATCCCATTTAGCACATTTGTTCTGAGCCTGTGTTGAAGCTACAAACCCAAATTCTGAAGGTAGAGTGTTGAGTTATTTTGAAGTGCCTCTCCTTGGTTCTCCGTGCACTTTCACTTAAAAATGTATGTATCTGATGCTTTCGGTGCCTGGCTGTCTTTCTTCTCTCCCCTTCAGTCTCGCTCTCTCCATCTTCCTCCATCATATATTCTCTCCTATCTCTTCCTTTCTCTCTGGTCTTTCTATCCCTTATTTTCATATTAACCACATGACCTCCTCCATTACCGCTGTCTAAAGCTTAAGTTTGTCTTTCTCTCTCTGGCCCTCTTCCCCTCCTTTTGGCTTGTCATGATTCACCTGACCCCATCTCTCAATAGGAAGGATAAATTGAATTATTAGACATGCATGACATACTATATCTTGAATACTGCTATATGTCAAATCTGTCTCCCATTGCTGCCAAAGCAAGCATGAACGTTTATTGTATTTAAATGGTAAATGTGGAGAAAACCAGATTCTTGGGACACAGTGATGACATTCTCTTTTTGATTTGTTCACATTACAGCAAGGTAGAACTTACTTTATCGAAAAAAGAAATCCCATAAAGGACAGTGTCACCGTTGATTACCACAATTGAACATCTCCCAACTTTTATGTGAGATGTTCAGGTTCACAAATATCCATCAACCCTTGAGGTTTAAGGTTTTAAGGATGAATTGTCCTTCAAGGAAGTGAAAATTGGAGCGAGCCCAGCACAAAGATGAAAGATTTTTAGTGTTCGAGAGAAATCCATCCGTATCTGCTCCCCTCCTCTACTACAGAATAGAAGACATGGGCTCCACATTCATAATTGATCCGCCTCAGCTCCAGAAATACCCTGACAGCGACTGGCTGTTGTGCCTGCTTACGTGCACGTATTGCGTGTATGAGTGCAAGCTTTATAATAATAGACGCAGCAAACAGGTGAGAGGATGCAGAGGAGATGGGCTGAGTCACACAGAGATACGGCCTTTTCAACTCCAGCACTCAGCCCAGCTTCTCCATGAACTGTGAACCACTCACTGCAGCCCCCAACAGCATTAAGCTGTTTGAATTTGCATGCAATTATTTTTGATGTAAAGTGGTGGAAGATTGGATTAAAATATTACGTAAAAGAGGCGGCGTGTGAACATGTGTTTGTGCAACTGAGAATGTTCCTGTCAAAGCTGCAAAGAGCTGCAGGGGGAGAGGAAAAGTGTGTGTGTTTTTTTGTTTTAGTGTGTGTGCGTGAGTGAAGCGGATGAAATGGGAATGGTGGTCAGTCGCAGAGTCAATGCAGGATTTGACCTCATCAAGTTTCTTCAAGCGTGTAACATTGGCATCACTGAGTTTAGTCCAGATACTGCTGCTGTAGCCACAAAATCTCTGGTAAATTTTCAAACCTATCACCCTCGTTTTATCAGTCAGGGAGTGTTAAAAATCTGTCAAATATTTCTTTCATTTATGTAGCACAAAATCATCGCAAATATTTCTTGTAAGCCTTCCTAGACTGTACTTTTGAAAATATTATTTAAAGAGACCAAACATGGATCTACAACGAGCAAATAATGGCAGCAGTGGCGACGGAAAACTCATTTTTAACGGGCAGGAACCTCGAGCAGAACCAGACTAATTAGGGTACAGTCATCTGCCAAAAACTGAACAGGCAGACAAAAAAGGAGATAGAGAGGATTCCAGATAGAAAGATGATACGTAGATGAACAGAGATCGTCTGAAGGCCATTTAGCCTCTGTGGGCGGTGGCCAGCTTTTGGGGCCTTCTGTTGTAGTAAGCAGTTAGAGTTAAAGGACTTCTGCCCACGACTTCCTTTTCTGTGTGTGTCCTTTGTTTACATTCTGACTACTAATTGAGGAGTGGAGTGCAGTCTAATTAATTAGAGGAGTTTTGGCTGCACTTGTATGCAAATATCTATTTATAGACATTATAATTAGTAGAATGCTGTTAGAGTTAGACGACTGCCAGTGGGTTCAGAGATTGCATTACAGCAGATTGCATTCAACTCTTCAATGGTTTTCACATTGACTGTTTTCATGTGTAGAATCAAAGCCTGTAGCTCACGTGGACAATTATATACATATTAATTAATATATTTTCCTATAGAATCTGACCCACAGATGAACATGGCTTTAACTTCAACTTTATTTATTTGTCCCCGAAGGGCGATTGGTTTTGTGTGGCGACGTTCACGGCAACAAAAATAATCAAATTTACTGACTTGTACTTATAATGGCAGTTATACTAGCAGCAATATATGCAATTTTAGCAGTAGCAACTATAATAATGATGAAAATAATTGCAGTAGTTAGAGTCAAGCAGGACAACATAAAAGTTGATGATAGTTGGTTACCAGGCAGAGACAAAGGTTGCAACTTTACCAAATTCTGTCTGTTACTTCAGGCTTAAAGTTAACGAGGGAAAAATAAACAATGATTAAATACTTGTCTGACTTTTTCTATCACCACACATGTGTTAATTATTTTTCTCCCTTCTCTTTCTTCCTCCAGGAGACGGCCTCCTCCTGCGATGCTGAGCTCCTCTCGTTGCTCCTGGATGCTGGGCTCCTGGTGGGCTGCGTCTCCTCCACCCTGTACCCCCTGCTCAGCTCCCACATGCTGTCCCACCAGCAGGAGGGAGGCTGGGATGTTGAGAAAGCCGCCACAGAGCTGCTGGCTGCCGGCCACGGGCCTGAGGCGGGCTCCCTGCTGCTGGCTCACCGAGGAACCCACCAGGCCCAATTCACCTTCAACTCCGCTTTGGCCGTGCTTAAGAAGTGGCTGTGAGGAATGATGGGAGAAATGACGGGGAGGCGGATTGGACTGCGGCCACTGTCGGCGGTGATAAAGCAGATTTAGGGAAGGAAGGTGGTGAGGCGTCAAGAGTGGAATGGAATTAGATTGGATTGAGATCTGAAGAAATTAGCATGAGGCGAGAACAGGAAAAATATCAAGCCGTAACTCCACATTTTGTCCCTTAATTGAGTTTCGGGTTCATAAACATCAACAGCAGCTGCAGTGTCTGCCTTGAAGGTACAAGAGCGGATACCTTTAATACTGAAACATCTGCTCAATTTCAAACACACACACACACATGAACACACGCATGAACACACACGTGAACACACAAACACAAGCTCTGCCATCTCTCAGTCATGAAGGAATATTCAGTCTGATCGGAATTGCTGCTTGCGTTTATTTGTGTGCTATTGTGTGATCGAGTAATTGAGCAGTAGCCGGGAAGCAGTGGGTGTATATTAGCCTATTGTTCCATGACAGGTTTGCCTCTTTGATGTCCCACCGTTAAACACCCTGCCTCTGCTCCATTGTTTTCCCCCTAATAATGTCTAATTAATTCCTTCTAAACAAATTAGCCCCGCAGCTGCCCCACACTGTGTCTTGGTGTGTGTGTGTGCATGCACAGGTACTGTATACGAGTTCCAAATCCCAGGTGATATAATGTAGAGCTATGTCTGTGTGTGTTTTTATGCACACAGTGAGGATGTCTACATTGTTTGTGTCACTTTATGAAGTACAAATTGAATTTGGTCCAAGCTTACAAATCTGATATAAATAAAGAATAATGGAAATGTGTTAAAGTCTGTTTGTGCAATCTTTCAACTGACTGCTGTGGATCTTTGGAATGTGAAGATTTTTTTTTTTTTAAACAGTCTCATTAACATTTCAGTGTTTCAATTTTATTTTTTATAAACCTAAAAAAAAATATTTTTGTTCCAGTTCAGAACGAGGGACTTAAAAACATTGTCCTTATAATTACAATAATATTTAACATTGTTCCAAGATAATTATAGCCCTCTGACCCAAACATGCAGCAGGATTTATTTCTCACCCCTAAAAGCTTTAAGTGCTTAGCATGCACAAATCAAACATCTGCTTTTGCTTTTATCACCAAATTCATTTAAAATCTTTTTCAAATATCTTTGACAAAACAGTCTGAATGAATCACATTCAGGGTTTTTTTTATGGTAAAATGTTAATTATTTAAAGTTTTTTTTAAAGTTATAGCCTACTTGTTTTTTTTAAGAGGCATGGTTAAAGCTGTTGTAAAATATTTCAAATTTCTGTGTAACATTAATTAATATTGACAAAAATGTGTATTGACAATATTCACTTCTAACTGAAAAACTACTTAGGAAGGTAGGGTTGGGCTTGGATCAAATCTTTTGAGCAGCAATGGATGTAACACCACCATTTTCCAACTTGCCTGGCTCACACTGTGCGAGTGAAATCGGGACAGAGTGTTGACAATTGTAAATAAAGTTTCATTTGAAAAAAACAAAGTACCACGGTTGGTGAAAGAGAAGGAAGTGGAACTTGTTGTAGGATATAGAAAAGTTGACACAATTGTAGATATAGCGTTACAAGTTTCAGAAAAGTGCTGCCCTGATGGTCTGTACAGAAAAGTAAAAAAAAAAAAAAAAGACACCGGGTTGCGTCTTGCCGCTTGTCGTCATGACTACAGTCTCATGATTATATTGTAGTCACACACAACTTCTGCCGGACCCTTTCATGACGTAAACATCAAGATTTTAAATTCTAAATATTAAACATTTTTGAAATAAATTGGGGCGTCCCCGACGATCACCGGGCAGATCGGGGATGTTAAGATTGGATCTTTGTATTACTCACACTACAAAATAATCTGAGCAGATAATCGGGTCCGAGCAGCCTTGAGTCGGGAGCGACCCTGCGATTGTCGGGAAGGAAGAATCGGAGCTCTAATCGGCCCGATTATCCTGCAGTGTGAGCCAGGCATAAGCCCGCTTGAAACCCTTCAGAAAATCATGTGAAGTAACCAAAATAGTTCCAGCTTTAACAGAGAATGGTGCATTCATGAAGGACTACACCACTTGGAGCTGAAAAACTAAAAAAACAAAACATTTCAAGGCCTTTTATATTTGAAACCAAGACTTTATTGGTTTTAAATAAATACTGCTGTTATTTCTGTATTGTGTTTAAGATAAAACATTTAGATTAAGCTTGTCAAAGCTGTTAAAGCTCTTGATGGCTACCTTATTGTGGCACCTGTGACTTTGAACCCCATTTAAATCTGTTAAGGCTGTAATAGGCTGATTATGTTTACATAAATGCTTGTTAACCTTCATGCTGTAATTAATCCCTTAGTTTACTGAACAAACGACATTATAATTTCAGTAAGGCTTTCTTACAAAGTCTCTAAAGAGTTCCAGAGCATCTAAAGACCAAATAGAATTTCATTTCATTTTTTTAAAAAGTTTTTTAGATCTCCTATATGTTTGTTGCCTGCCCAGCTCTGTTGTCACTTCCAATACTCTTAAGCCCTAGCTAAAATGAGAGTATAAAAAAAATTCAATAAAGTATAATATGCGACAGTAATTCATTTTGTCAGGCAACATTTAAAACAGCTGCATGAGTAGAGTAGCTTGTGTCAGGGCAGAAATTAAATAAAGGAATAGGGCTTTGAGGTATTTACCCTGACAGCAATATTGCTGTGTTACAGGCCTGTGTATGAAAGATTGGGATGTCGTGGGTGGATGGGTGGATGGGTGGTCTATATATCAAACACGAGAGTAATGAATCTTCCTACCTGTGGAGGGGAAGCGGAAAATGAGTCAATGTTTTTGCTGTCTCTGTTTTGCAAGAAAAAATACGGCTACAGACAAAAATCAGGACTGCTTCTTCAGGTCTGTCTCTGTTAAAGAAGTGTCAAAATTATCCCACAAGAGGAAATAATCCTGTAGAGATTAATGGGTCAATTTCACAGCCTTCCACTCCCTCAATCATGGCTCGACCATTTAGTGCTATTCTAAGCTACTGTCAGAAGCTGATAGCTTAAAAAATGGCTGGGCCTTGCAGTCTTAAGAAAATACATTGATGCTCATTCCCTTGAGTTAGACGTGTTCTCTCAACCCTGCAAAATGAATTAAATTGGCCTCAGATAGTAATCGACCCGGGTTTGCTCATACCCTTAAGCCACAGCAGGAGTCCATTTTGAGTCCCGGCTAGCATGAAATCAACTCTCTGTGCTTAGCTAATAAGATTACATGAAGCCTCATCATCAATCTAAACCCTAAAATCCTCAACACCAGCAGGCCCAGACCTTTGGCTTTTAATACTGCAACAAAGTGGTACATCCCAGTCAATGTTCAAGCATGAGGTACTGCGACAGGCTAACATACATCCAAAACTATTCAACATGTGAGATAAAATACATTCATGTTGAGGGCAATTAATAACACATTCATTGATTTATGAAATAATGAATAAAAAGATTGAAACATGTAGAAGTCGCTGGAGAAAGAGAGTGCATGCTGATGGATCATTCATACAAAAGAGGCTTCATATGTTGATGAACAGAAAGAGAGAAACAGAAGAATAGGGAGGAAAATGAAGAGCAAGTGGATTAGCACTGGACTATTTTTTGGCACAGTGATTTGACCCGTCTGGATTAGAAGAGTTGACCCCATAAACCCCTGGGACCACTCTTATGAGTGTTGCTTAAAATCCTCACACCTAAAATACGCATGGTCCTCTCGCGATCGTATTTCGGCAGGGATACAAGATTTAGAGAATAAAGAGTCACTTTCAAACATGGATTGTTGTGATTACACTCTGTATTCATTCTTTTTCTTTTTCAAACTACTAAACCAAGCAGCTGGCTGATAGTTTGCTTCCCATTTGCAGCTATAATCAATATTTTTTAAATTGCCTTTTATATGTCTACTCAGCAGTTCCTCTAAGCTCTATGGAGCTCTAAGCATCTTACATACGATTGTTTGCTTTGCTTTTTTATCCACTCTCACAGCTCTCATAGCTTTTAATAAACATTCTTAACCACTGCAGACCACTTGTCAAGAAATCTGACTGAATACTGGGAAATCATTCCCCACCAATCTTTAAAAAACCACTGTACACTACCTACACAGTACCAAACTTTTGAAGCAAACAGAATGAGTAAGATTGTAAAGAAAGTAGATTAATATGCATTTAAAATGTTGAATATTTTTCTAAAAAATTGGTAGAGATCATAACAAATCTTAAAGGATAATGAGTGTGAGATACACAGTCACACGACTATGAAAGAATACGTTCACTATATGTCTTCTGAACAAATAAATAACAACTGTTTGTTCGCTAAACATTCTCAATATGAGAAACAGTCCAAATAAGAACAGGCCCAGGATGATTGTGAAGGAGTTTACAACAACCCATATTTACGTTTATCATAGAGGAAGCCTCTAGGGGCCATAAGGCCATGTTTTAAGTCCTTCCAGTGAGCTCATCAGGAAGGTACAGATCAGAACCATCCAGGATTTAAGACAGGCACTGAAATGCTGTTCAGATGTTCATGAAGACCAGTGTAGCGATCAATCAAAATAAGCTTAAGAGCATACTGTAATAATAGTAGGAGTTAGCAGGTCCACAAATGCTGTGGTCGGCAACAAAAAACCACAGGAACCTACAAGACAAGAGAACAAAAAACTATGTATAGTATACAACATTTAGAAATGGGACATGAATGCATAAAGTCCACTGGCAGCCTATAGCACCATAACCAAAGACACGTTGAATGAGCATGCCCAACTATAAACTTTATCTAAAAGAAAGTCAAAGCCTAAAAGCAGAGAGGAGAACTGCCTCCTCAACCCTGACTGGTGGATGATTCCAGAGCTAATTGAAGGCTCCACCTCCCATACTACTTTTAGAGGCTAAAAGTAAAACAAGCAGGCCTGTATTCTGTGAACGTATTGTTCTGAAAGAGGTAAAATGATGGTGTTTGATCATTAAGAGCTCCATAGGTAAGATGAAGGACTGCGCATTGTTTTCTTGATTTTGAGCCATTGTAGAGAAGCTAATATGGGAGAAAAATTGTCTCTTTTTTCAGTTTAAAACAGTCTCACTATCTCTTTTTAGTTTGCTGGTGTGAACAGAGACTGCAAGAATATCCTGGAAATGTTGAAAAGCACTGCTTCTTCTGCTTGGGTTTCGTAAACACGGTGTTGCAACCTGTCAAGTGTCAGCATCCTTTTTCTTTCTGTCAGGCAAAGCTCTCTGCAGGCAGTGAGCCATCATCACTATCCATCCAGAAGGTGAGAAGGGGGGGAGTTTCGTGCCCCCCTCCCAGGGGGAAGCTGAATGAGATGGGATCTTACAAACTCTCTCCTCTACTGAACAGAGGTTATCCCCTTGAAACAAGGCATTTACCCTGTGCCTATGAGTCCTCTGTGGAGTCTTCAATGCAAAAGAGAAAATGAATGAAAGAATGAGTGTAGAAAAATTGTGTTTGCATTCCAGGAAATCCCTCACATGCCTTCAACCTTGTCAAGAGACTGAATACTGGGAAATCATTCCCCCACCAAGGCTATGTTTGTTTCTTTTAGCTCTATTTTTCATCCATCCGGTCTTACCTGTGTTTACCTTCCAACCTTACTCCACAGAGTGACTGTCTATATAGTAGCTCAGACAAAACCCGTCTAACACACATACTGTAGGAGTATATTTAAAAATAGAGAGTTGTAGTATTAAATAAAAAAAGAATAAGGTGGAAGGTCAGATAAGCACGCGGGATGGGAAATGACTGAAGGTCAAACACA